TCTAATAAATAAACAGCATTATACCAAAATCAAACATCTCCCATCTTTCAAATTACGTCTCTATTATATTTTTTATTTCTATTTTTAAAATTATATGTATTAAGATTTGATAAAAATATTATATTATTTCGAAAAATCAACCGTGTATTAAGTTGCATTTAGAAAGAAAACAGGTACCCGGAAAATCACGATGATATAATAATTATTGAACTCAATGCCCTTACAATGATTAACAAATATAACTGATTTTAGAATTTGTATGACATTGCAGTTGACCTGTATAAGATTGACATCTTTTCAGTTAATAATCGGAGTGTTGCATGTTCCTGAAACCCACGGCAGCATTCTAAGAACATCCAAAAAAATGTCCATTAAACTTGTCGATAATCTATCTCAAGATTTCATTAAACTCCTAAACAATAAGGATTACTTCGATACATTTATTGAAATCGGCGATGATCAAAATAAAAAAACATTCACTGCTCACTCAGCTGTATTATTCTGTCGATCTCTATATTTTCGAACCGAGTTGCCTAAGATTGGGGAGAGTATTAAAAATTTCTCATTGCCAAACACATCACCCGAAGTATTTGAAATTATTCTCAAGTACGTATGTTTCATTAACTTCCGCGGTAGAAATAGATAATTTGACTTAGCATATGCTTTATATGATAGGTACATTTACAGTGGAATTATCATTCTTGATGATTTAGGCAACGCACTCATTTTTAAAATAATTATGTTAGCATGTGAATTTGGATTAGAAGAATTGTTTAAACCACTAGAAACGCATCTCGTTAAATATCATTCTTCTTGGTTACGCACACACTTTTCAACTGTTTACCCTCAAATCTTTAAAAGCAATCACTTTGAGAATTTAAAGAAATTTTACAACGATATCATAGTAAAATATCCTGATCTTATATTTGACGCTGATGATTTCGTCTCTCTCCAGGAGTCAGCCTTAATTTCTCTTATTAAACGAGATGATCTGAAAATGAATGAAATCAAAATATGGGAAAAAGTTATTCAATGGGGAATTGCAAAAAATCCCACGTTACATCCAAAACTTGAGGAGTGGTCGTATGAGGATTTTTTATCTTTAAAAATTACCTTGCAAAATTGCTTACCTCACATTCGCTATTTCCAATTTTCTCACGCGGAGCTTTGGGAAAAAGTTAAACCATACAAGAAAATTCTTGAGAAACAACTTTGGGATGATTTAAAACAACATTTAATGCTTCCCGATAAGCCAGTAAAATCAAATATTTTATCGGCAAGGTTAGTCTTAGAATCAGAATTACCCCCTCGAGTTAAAAGTATGTTTCCACTTCAATTATTAAACATGATAAAAAGTGAGCTTAAGCGTCCAAGTGAAATAACAAAAGGCATTGTTTATTTTTACTAATTTAGTCAAAAGATCAATTAAATATGGATCAGAGGTTTCCCTTGTTCATATGTCCACCGGGAAATACTTATCTACTAAAAAAGTCCCATTACCCGTACACGGACAATATTCGGTATTTATTACCATTAATTTTATCATTAGTTAATGTCACACCTTAATACATACAGTATATGTTTATTTAAGGCCGTTTGTACTGGCCAAAACATCGACGCAAAAAATGATTCCTGGAAAATTATTGGTGCATTTAAAATAAACGTAAAAAATGGAGGCCTTATATCCTCAAGCACCGTTGTTAGACTTATGCATCAAGATACGGGAGAAAACTTACATTCTCATGGTGTAATACATGGTGGAACCCCGAAATCAAATCATCAACAGGGTATTTCGTTAAACAAATTTACACATCCTCTTTCTATAGAATTTATAACTAACGATCACTAATTTAACGCTTAGCGACCGTTTTCCGGTATAAACACAGTGACGATAATTGGCTTCTTCAATGCTATAACTCTATCACTGATGATAACGACTCAGCTCATTTAATGAGTGGTGACATCATTAGTCTCCTTCATAAAAATACTAATCAACCGCTCTACAGCCATGAAGTTCTATTAGACGATGGAACTCAAGAAGTTTCTTGCCATGGAAATGGTGATAAGGAGAATATTAAGGCATAAAATTTTAATAAAGTTAATGTTTCATTATTTTTTTTATTAGACTTTTAATTGCAATTCCACCTTGCAGTGGCGTATCGAATTAATTAGGAAACCGATTAAATATGAATCAACTATTGCGTTATTTCACGTACCTACTAGAAAATACTTATCCACTAAAAGGGTCAAATATCCAAACCATAAACAAAATATGGTGAGCTGTCATTAAAAACTTTTAATTCCCTTTATCACTTACCTAACTATTAATTTAATCCACAAAGGTCGTTTGCACAGGCAAAGAATTAGATTTTGAACACGACCTTTGGACGATTTGTGATATGAATGTTAAAAGTCCTTTATTGACTTGTAACATTATTGGATTTAAACATAAAGAAACGGGTGAAAAATTGCATTCCCATTTTATAGAACACGGGAAAACCCCAAAATCAAACCATCAACAAGGTATATTTTAAGCAAAACCATAACCATACCGATATAACGCAAATCTATTTTATATAACAGTTTGCATAATTACAACTGCTCCTTTAAATATTTTAGTGACTCTTTTTATGCGTGGAAATCCGGACGATCATTGGATTATTCGGCATCATGGTTCTAAAGTCGATCTAGACCATTTAATGGACGGTGATATTATTAATCTCTTTCATAAATGTACTAATCTACCACTCTACAGCCATGATGTTCTAATGGATGATGGAACTCAAGAGGTTTCTTGTAATGGAGACGGAAGTGAAGATAATAATATGGTATAAATTTTCAAATATTTTTTCGTTTATGCTTATATGATGCCGCTTGCTTATTACTTCTTTATAAAAATTGTATTTTAGTGGTGTATTGAATTGATCGAATAATGCAAGTTCTTTTAAGGCACATAGTATAAGAGTAATGCTTTATATCTTGAAATCATGGTTTTATTTATGAAAATTCATGCATTCATTTGTACGCTAATTGAACAAAATACCCCTGAAATAAAGTTATGTCTTCTCATGTTTTTCAATAAGATCTTTACCGAAGGTACAACAAAAGACATAGGATATTTGGTTCTATTACAAATAAAACACTTATGATATGCAACGTGCTGGTGGTTATGATAAAAGAAATTTATAATATTGAATAATACAACCCTTGTGAACTTTCTATAAGACAAAAGCATAGAATCAGACTTAAAGGCTAAAAAATTAAAAAGAATTAAAAATATACTAAACTTATAATCTTTCTATAAATCAATATCAATCATTTAAACCTAAGGTGTACGTTTATTCGAGATTAAATTCATAAAGTAATACCAATTAATCATTTTAATCTTTAGGTAAATTATATTAGAACTATTGTAAAATAATATTAAGCCTACCAACTGATTCAATTTTTTGGCTTAGGCATTATAAGGAACAACGTAAATATCAGATTAATATTGTTGATAATAAATTCTATTTATTAACATAATAAAGAATATATGGTATATTCCCGGTGAAAAAATCGAACTGATCATCATGTTTGGCACTATCTCATACTGTAGAACATGGCAAAAAGTTCATTAATCTATTCTAGAAACAATACAGTTCTAATATGGAAAGAAATTGAATGATAAACTTGACTTTTGTCAAATCATATATTACAACAAAATGCATGCAAATAAAGTTGCAAAATTAATGTCTCGCTTATTAAATGGATTAAAGGTTACCGGTAATCATTATCGGTCATCGAAAATAATGAATTTTGTATTTTTGTAACAATCACAAATTCAACAAACCTATGAAAATTGTGATCTTTTAAAAACATATTTTAATAATATTAATAGTATCGTGAATATCTGGTGCTTCATTATAAAAGATGTGTGTGTGTTAAACTAGCAAATATTATTTGATTTATGTGAAAAAATTGATGTATTTGAACATAAATCCGTGCAACTATTGTCTGATAAATGTGATGATCGTGTAATATGGTCTCGAAGAAGTCAGGATACCTGTTATAAAAGTTGAGGGTTTCCAACTGCTATATGCTCATTTTAATCTATATTTTAAGAATTAAAAAATATATATTTGAAATTAAGAAAACTTCCTTTTTTCGCACCTGAAATTAAATTCATCAACCATTGAAATTTAACTTATTTGACGGTATCAATGATAATGAAATAAATAAAGAATTGAATGTGAGTATTTCGTTATTAGCTTTTTAGAAAATAATTGCTTTTTAAGGCCTTTATTACTCCATTAAAACCTATTTTTCAAATAGTAATACTTCTTTTAATATCAAGTTATCATATTTTTGGAGATCTTTGTATGATTTTCTGATTATCATGAAAATAAGTGAAGCTCAATATGAAAATGAGACGCAATAAGATGAATGTAAAACCAATAAGTATTGGGGAAAAAAACCTGAATCTATGTTTCATGAAGTAAATCCTTGATTGAGTAAATTAGATTGTTTAAGCCAAAGATGAAAAAAACTAAAGCATAAAACTTAATTTATACAACTTATATAACAAATTATGCAATTAAAGATAATAAGTCTATAGTAGAATCATATAATATACATTGTATTTATAAATCAAGTATTTGATAAAATTTAATGATTGGTTGGCTCATCTGCTGTTCTTAAGAACATACAAATGATGAACAAACAATGCAAAGTATTTTCATAAACCAAAAATATTATCTCACCATTGACATTTAATATTGTGTATAACAGAGATTTCTTTAGACTAATGCCTGACAATTTTCTATATAAAATAATGGTCACAATTTGCATCACATTGTTGACTTCATAGATAATTGGTCTAATCAATAAACGCATGCAAATATTCACATAACTGATTTCATGACACTATGAACACAGCTATTGCTAAAATATAATTTAAACTTTTCTTCAAAAATGCTTTAAATAGTGAGTTAAAGTGATCCTTGATTTATTTCTATAACTTATAATTTATTATGTTCAGAGTATTTACCATTTACTTCTTCGCATACTTTCCTCATATCCCTTAATGCTTTCAATAAACTTTCTCTAAATGCCTTGGTATTTGTTTCCGATGATGAACGTTTTGACTCAATCCCAAATTTAAATATGTGTTCCCCTGTATAGGTAATTTCAAATAGAATATCAGAATCAATAAAAACCTTTGATGTCTCTTGTTGAGCTTAAAAGATAATTAAATAATTTTTTATACCGGGTAAATAATTGATTCCATATCCGTTAGGATAAACACAACCAAATCCGGTTCCTTTAATATAAGTAACCAAATAGAAAGAAGTTAATATTCGCTCAGTTGAAAAAATTTTTTTAAATGAAACACAGTTTATCGTAACCGGAAAAAAAAAACAGACCATTCAAATATTCTCCTGTACTTAATCCACTTGTACTCAATAACCATTCTTGACTTTTCGCGT